TTTGTGACTATTGGTATGCCTTGGTCTAGGGAAGGGACTCCTTACCAGAGACACAAGTTCCCTAGACCAAGGTACAAAAAAGGGCCAGACCAAGTATAGGGGTACTTGGGCCTGGAATTTTTTTTTTCTCTTCCATTTTTTCCCCTTGTGCCTAGTTTTGTTTTCTTGTTTTGAATAGACCTTGTTTCTGTTTTGGTATCCCTCCCACCCAACCAACCCAGAGGGTTGTGGGTAGGCTTTTGGATGTCCGGGGGACGTCCAGTAGGAGGGGGGTACTGTCATGTCTGTCTGTTTCCGTGTTTTCCTGTGTTCTTTGTGGGGTAATCATGGGATCACACTCACCTGTTTGGTAATTAGCTTCACTTGTGTCACCTGGTGTTCCCTGTGTATATATACCCCTCTCCCTCACTCTGTCGGGGTTGGATCATTGTGATTGTGGTGGTGTGTGTTTGGTCATTGTGACTGTGTTGGATCTTCGTGTTCGTGAGTTTCCTACTCTGTGTTTCCTCGTGTTCCGTGTTTCCGTGTTTTCCTCGTGTTCCTCGAGAATTCCATGCCTGTTAGTTCTTCGTGTTTTGTTAATTTGGACTTTGTTAATAAACTTCCTGCACCAGAAAGAGTCTCTCCAGTACTGCATTTGGGTCCTGCCTGCTCCCTGCGATGCTCGCACATGACAGTAATCTTGTTACAAGAGTGCAGTGGCAATGCAATCCATTTGAGATACATCATCAGACCGAGAATACTTGCTATGTCAGTCCAGGAGAGTAATCATGTGTGGACATCAAGAGATTTTGGGCAAAATCGAGAGAAAGAGCCAATTTAAAGACACCATATTACTTGTTCCATATAAAGCTGTGTTCCAGCTACAAATGCAAAGGTCTTTTATCTCTTCTCATGATGTCTCCCACTCCTCCCAGCCCAATTTTATTTTTCCCTGTGAAATAAAATGGGTACAAACTCAGAGATCCTCTCAGTCTCATTAGGTTCGACAGCAAACATTTTTAGTGTAACCTGCTATGTTGATCCTACGCTGCCCCATTAACTCAGATAATTAAAACATAATCCTTTCCCATAGAGAGCTGATCCATTTAAACTGGGCAGCCAGTTCTCATGTTCATTACCAATTCTACTGGGAAACAAGACATTGATAGGATGTTTCCTAGGCTCTTTGATGCCTTGCAGGTGCAGCGGCTGACGGAGAGATAATGCGGCAAAAACAGGTAGTAAATGGGTTAACTATACATCACTCGGCTAGAGAATCACAGAAGGCTCTAATGGACTTACATAAGCCTCTCTAGAGGGAATACAAGACCACATGAAAACAGCTAGGGACAGCAGTACACTAACGGCCGACCAGTGCAACTCTGCAAACTGGATCACACACACCCCACACTGCTTCTGACACAGGTTTA